TTGCAAGCGTGGCGGTGGTGTCGGAGGCATGAACGGCACAGAACTCGGCAGCGCAGGAGTAGTTTGCATGTTGACTACAGCAAGTTGAAGACAGCGCTAATTGTTCGATGATGCCATTATGTTTGCTTGACGCTTCTCTCGTTGCTGGTGTCGGATTCTTGACCAATGAGCAATTATGATGAGGCACGCATGGCCAGTTCTCGCCTTCGACCTGCGTAGCTCACCACCCCTCAGAGTGACCAAGCCTTGCCTGAACCCTGAGTCTATTCAGTGTCGGTGGCCGTTTCGGCTGCCTTTGCAAGCGTGGCGGCTCGTGCCGCCCAGAAGTCAGCAGCGCAGGAGTAGTTTGCATGTTGACAAAGGCAAGTTGAAAACACTACTTTCAATGATGCCACTCTGTTTGCATGACGCGTTTGTCGTTGCAGGTGCCGTTCTTGACCAATGAGACATTTTCATGATTCACGCATAGCCAGGTTTCGCCTTAGGCCTACGACCGCCCCTCAGTGACCAAGCCTTGATTGAATTCTGCCTCCTGCCTTGAGCCTATTCACCATTCGGGCTGCCTTTGCAAGCGTGGCGGTGGTGTCGGAGGCATGAGGGCAGCCAGTTTCGCCTTAGGCCCAAGCCTTGCCTGAACCCTGCCTGGCTGCCTTCAGTCTATTCAGTGTCGGTGGCCGTTTGGGCTGTCTATGCAACCGTGGCGGCTCGTACCGCCCAGAAGTCAGCAGCGCAAGAGTAGTTTGCATGTTGACCAACACAAGTTGCAAACACCACTACTATCAATGATGCCAGTCGTTGCAGGTGTCGGGTTCTTGATCAATGAGAAGTCCTTATGAATCACGCGTAGCCAGGTTTCGACGTAGGCCTAAGACCACCACCCAGTGACCCAGCCGTGCCTGAATTCTGCCTCCTGCCTTGAGCCTATTCACCATTCGGGCTGCCTTTGCAAGCGTGCCGGTGGTGTCAGAACCTTGATGAATGAAAATCATGATGAGGCATGAGGGTAGGCACTTTCGCCTTAGGCCCAAGCCTTGCCTGAACCTGGCCTCCTGCCTTGAGTCTACTCAGTGTTGGTGGCCTTTTGGGCTGCCTATGTAGGGCACGGCTGCTCACGCCGCCCGCGCAGAACTTGGCAGCGCAGGAGTAGTCTGCGTGGCGACGAAAGCAAGCTGAAAGCAACGACCTTTCAATGATCCCAATCGCTTTGTAAGACTTGCTGCGTGCTCCGTTGCATGCGTGTCAGAAGCACGCTGCATGTGCGCACGGCTTCCTGCTTTTGGCCGTTGACTGATGCCCCACTCTGTCGCGCCGTGGTCAGCTCACTAGAAGTCCGCGACCCCGACAGAGCGTCGGATCTCACCTTCAGACGCAGCTTGAAAAGATTGTGCCCGGCCAATGGCTAGGCAGTTTTTTGAAAGTTGGCATGGCCCAGTGTGGGTGGTGGGACATCTATCCTTTCTTGGCCCTGTATTTCGCGGATGGAGCCTGCCTACCTTGCAGAAGCCTGAAAGTGCAGCAGGACGCCGCTTGAAAGCCGTCCTTAGCAAACAACTGGTTCCCCAGCGCAGAAGGGGTCTTCTTTTTGGGAGTTCTGGAGCTCAACCACTTTCGATCTACGAGGCAGAGGACATGACCTTTGAGAAAATGAAGGAGATATGATTGAAGCCAGAGATTCTGCTGGCATTATTTCCTTATTAAAGTCTATTTATATTCTAATTAAAGGATTGAACAAATCCTTCTGGGAAAGGACGCTCCCTTTAAAGTTCAAATTGAAATACATACTCTATTAAATCCAATGGAAATCCTGTTTCATAAAAGAAGCCATATAGAAATCCTAATTGAAACTAGAAATTCTACTAGGTGTCTGTCCTTATGAATATCAATGTAAAGTAAATTATGATTAGCAGATTGTAAAATCCTAATTGGAAAAGCACCCCCTATGATTCCAAACAAACACCTAATTGAAGTCCTCGTTAAAGCGGAGATCTTCTTCAATTTCTGTTTGAAGCTAGAATTTCTGCCAGGGCTCTTTCCTTACTCTGTTGACTTTATGACTATTATTATTAGAAGAAAAATAACAAAACACCCATGAAAAAGGAATTCCACCTTTAACATCTGACCTGAAATTAAAACTATTCGACACTTCTTTGAACTCCTCTTCTAGAAAGGTGTTTCCTATTTCAACTCAAGTCGAACCCATTAATTCTACCAGACTTTGTGCTTTCTTAATTTCTATTTGGGACTGGGTCAAGAGTAATCCACCAGGGGGCCGCAGGTTTTAGTTTTCGGTTTCCAAGCAGGGCACGCCATTTTGGGGTTTCCCGGGTTTTGACCCGCTGAAATCGGCGCAGGCTTTACCAGACGGCATTCATTTGGACTTGGAGCCGTGTGGCTTGAGAGATCTTGAGAGATCTTGAGAGATCTTGAGAGATGGGAGATGACCCAAAACCAAAAATTCACCTCGAGAAACCAACCAAACAAAAACACGAAACAATGCAATCTCTCAGAAGAAATGCTTCTGTGTACCTTACCTTTGCCTTCAGAGATTGTTTTTCTTTTCTATTTTTTCTTTTGTTTGAACATGTTACCAAGGCTTTTTGAGCTTGGAGTTCCAGTACATTTTCCCTGAGATGTGTTTTTTGGTTTTCTTGATTCATCGAGGTCTTTTTGGTTTTGAGTCTGAATATTCGATTTCTCGGAGTACTTTTGGCTTTGGATTCCGGCACATTTCTGCGGAGAGATTGTGTTTTGTGTTATTTCTCAAGGTTTCTGTCGGGTTTGCCTTAAACTCTGTCAGAACAGGTCGGTGCAAAGCCCACCGCTCACAACATCCCTTTCTGATTTAGTAATGACATAGTATATATCATATATTATATATCGTTATTATACTAGGTATGGTGTTTTGGTTGAAATGAATTTGAGGTTCAAATTTTCCAGGCGCTGAATGCGTATTTGAGTTTTAGTAGTAGTGCTTGGATTAGAACATGCACGTTTGTTGCTACAAGTAGTTAATATCTAATGGATATTGACCAGATTGCATTTCATATTTTTTAGTGACCCTTCAATGGCCGCTAATGCTTTTATCATGGATGATGGCGACAATACAGCACACAGTTTAGAAAGCGATGGAATGCCAGATCACTTTTGCTACTAGTAGTATTTAAACAAATAGTGGACATGACATTAGGAACAGTAGTAGTGCTGCTAATAGAATAATTGTGGGAGATGTTGGCATATCATATTTTGAAATTATCCTTGAAACAACACACTTTAAACATGTCGAGAAATATTCAAGCTTTTATGTTCTGATTTTGGTGTGCCTTCTGATGTTGATATGACAACTGCCACAATGAGGCATGCATCTTTAGCAGTAGTTAAACCTAGTTGATTTTACGTGTTCTGTTGTTATTAGTGGGGTTAGTTTAACAACTGAACATATAAGTGTTGAAGCTTCAAATAAGTTAAGTCTTGATGCTACCAAAAGTTTATAGCAATACTAATGATACAACAATAAGACATGCACACACACAGCAACTGTGCTAAACATCATCATTGGTTTAGACATTACCTATTGACGGTGGTATGACTTTTGACATTTCTTGTCAAATCAATTTAGAGCATGCAAATCGTGATGTTATAGAGACTGGAAGCATCAACAAATTGAATGGCACTAAATATGTGCAGTTGGATGATACTCAACGCACTTCATTTGACGGATTTCACCTGAGTCGTGATAGACTGAAGGATAATCCAGAAGATGTGGATGATGATGCAATTTCATTGGCAAGACATATTTCACAACTTTCATTTTCCATACAGTTGGCGACCTGCCAGGAACAGCAGGATCTGGTCGGCAGAATTGGAACCCCTGGTACCCTACCCCTTTATAAAAGATACTAAACGGAGGTTACTCCCCGACAGGTTAACATGGAACCCAAACAACAACCATTTGTAGCGGATGAATTTGTAGGGGAGCATTCAACGAGTTCAGGCTTGGCGCATCCAAGGGATCGCTATCAATGCCGCCGATTTCCTATGTTCCCCCTTGTCACCTGTCGGTCCCCTGTAAAGTCAGATTCCTTTGGATGTGATGTTTGGCTGTCCCTTCTCTTCTTTTGCGCCTGCAACATGTAGTGCTCACATTTTGCGGGGCAGTCGAATTGCTCAAGCCTCTTGGCGCCCTTTTGAGGTTGCTTTGGTTAAAGATAGATGGCGCTGGTTTCGATAGGTTGTATTCCATTTTGCAGGGCCATCTAGTTTTCAAACGGCCACCTATGCTGAAGCCGTTTTCTATGATCCACACTCAGCAGAGACCTATTCGCATGTGGGAGTTTGTTGGAGGGTACCCTTTTCAGGTTTTAAAGGCCAACCGAAGGGAACACCCCCACTTTATACTTTCCTCAATTTTGACATGTATTCATTTGTTTTCTTCCTTCTTACAAGACTGATGCATGCCATTGCAAAGTGAGGGGTATGTTCCCGAGGTGGTTTGGATTGATGGTTTAGATTCGGATTTGAAGCCTGACTTTTGAGGGTAAACGAGAAACTGCAACCGCCAAACCACCGGGGCTCCAAACCGCCAAGAGGGAAGCTGAGTCAGGGCTGCAACCACTCTTCCCTGATAGCAAGGCACTGCCCTGATTTTACCACACAGTGCAAAGTGTCCTGGTTACTGCCTCCCTGAAGATGGAGGACGAATCAGGTTGAGCCCAAGGAACGTTGATTCGAGTTTTTCAAAATCACACGAGCCACCTGCTCAAAGCCCGGGGATTGATGAAGGTTAGGGACCAGCCATACATAGCTGCGGATCTCCGCCTTGGTATTTCCTTGCATGGTTCTGGGGCCTGCGACCATTTTCATACCGAATCGGTTTTGAGCAAGTGACTCCTTTGGACCCAAACATGGGGAAGGACTCTAGGGGTACCTTCTCCATTCTTTCTAGACCATTTCTTGGTACCGATCGGTTTTGAGCAAGTGACTCACATGTTTCGCAGTGCACGCGAGCGCTGCCCAGTTTCCCGGCTCCAGTCGCATCGCTTCCCGCGGGGCTTTCTTTCCGTCAGCCATGGGCTCGGGCGCCTCGTTCGCTGCGTTGCCGAAGGAGGCATTGAATGAGGCGTTCCAGGAGGAGGCGCTGACGCAGGTGATGGGAGGCCTAAGCCGTGAGCAGCTGCAGACACTACAGAAGGCGGGACACGCCGCCTTGCGGGGGCTTTCTGGGCAGAAAGGGGGTGGGCTAGGTTGGGGAAGAAAGGACTGGGCGAAAATGGAGAAAGGAGAAGCAAATGTGTGGGTGTGTCTTTTTTTTTGGGTACCCCCAAAATGGTGGTGTTCTTTTGGTTTTGTTTCAAGATTTGTCAGAAAGGAGCACCGTCAAACAAAGGCACAGCGGCGATAAAAGCAGAATCGGGGGGCATAACCTTAGTCAGGCGCCGATCAGCTTCTAGAGTAAGATGAGGCCGGGAAGAAGAAACAAATGCAAATAGGCGGAATCTGCAAGGTCCAATGGACAGGTGGTTCAGTCCTTGTGGTGGGCTGAGCAGATGATCATGGTTTGTGTTGGTCACAGTCAGTGTGTGTGTGTGTATTTGTTTTTCTTGTTTTGTTTTGTTTCAGGGAACTCTTTTGGGGTTGTTTCAAAGAAAAAACAATTTGGTATCCTTAAATGTTTGTTGTGTCTTTTCTTAGGGGACCCCCCCCCCAGATGGTGTTATTTTTTTGGTTTTCCTGTACGACAACCGACAACAGGCAGCCTCAAACAAAGACACCCCACCCCTCTCGTTCCAGGGGTGCATGTTGCCAAGGGATGTTAGGACTTTACCATGCCAACTGATGGGTTTTCCGAATTAAACCACTCAAAGTTATTCACTTTTAGCAGGGCTTCGCAGAGTTCGCAACCGAGGTTCTTCTTTGGAAACTCTCATGGACTCGCGACTTCTGTCGTCCCTAGGTGAGGCCAGGCTTGGGATGTAGAGGTACAACAACAGGCACCTAATTGGTAGATCTCGTGAAACATCTGGGGGTGGGTGGAAGCACCCTCAAATGGTTGATGTGCAGTTTGCAGGGACCTTACCATGTGGGTTTCCTTTTTTTTGAGGCTCGGCCCCTTTCACTTTGGAGGGAAACCAAAAAGGACACCCGCCCTCTTGTTTGTGTTTCTTTCTCCTCTTTTTGGGGGGAGGGGGGAGGGGGGCGGTCGCCATCATTTTGACACCTACCCTTTTCGCCCTCTGAGCCATCAAAACCTGGTAGATGAATGTTAGTCAGGGACGATCCCAGCCAAAGGCCGCGGATCTCCGCCTTCTTAATCCTGGAAGCCAGGTTCTGGGGCCTGCGGCCATTTTCATGCCGAGTCGGTCTTGAGCAAGTGACTCCTTTGGACCCGAACATGGGGAAGGATTCTAGGGGTACCTTCCCCATTCTTAGGCCATTTTAGAAAACCGATCGGTTTTGAGTGCGAGCCTCAGGTCGTCTCCACGGCACTTGACTCCAAGAAGCCGGGGCTGGGCAACGCGGACGCGGCCAGTGACATGAAGCGCGCCATGTGGATGTGGTCCAAGGCGCGGGAGGTTCGATCTTTTCCGAGACAGACCGGGCCCCTTTTGTTAGTGGCGTTGTCCTGGGGTAAGGAAAAGTAGAAATCGGGCCCCTTTTGCGAGTGGCGTGTTTTTGTTGAGGAAAGAGGGGGAATCCTGGGGTCGCGCAAACTAATCGGACCCCGTGTTTATTTTTTGAGCGGGGGGGACCCTTTTTGTGAGTGCTAAGGAAAATGAAGAATCGGGCCCCGTTTGTGAGTGGTGTTGTTTTTTTTTTAAAGGAAAGAGGGGGCGGGACCCTTTTTTGGTTGTTTCCTTGCAACAATCCATCGTAGGAGGTTTGGGGTCATGTTGACCCGGGATTCATAAACTCCGCCCCCTTTTCTTGTCACCAAAAAAGGTGAACAAGGGGTTTTTCCAGGAAAGCCTGCGGAACCTCGGAACAACATGTTAGCAATATAAGAACTGTAGCTTAGAGCACGCTTCCTCTTCCCCCTTTCTCTCTTTCTCTCTTTCTCTCTTTCTCTCTTTCTCTCTTTCTCTCTTTCTCTCTTTCTCTCTTTCTCTCTTTCTCTCTTTCTCTCTTTCTCTCTTTCTCTCTTTCTCTCTTTCTCTCTTTCTCTCTTTCTCTCTTTCTCTCTTTCTCTCTTTCTCTCTTTCTCTCTTTCTCTCTTTCTTTCTCTCTTTCTTTCTCTCTTTCTCTCTTTCTTTCTCTCTTTCTCTCTTTCTCTCTCTCTTTCCCCAGAAGCACCACGGTCCAAACTGGCGCGAACCTGTCCCACTCGCACGGCAGAAACCACACCACACACGATTTGTAAGGTCGACCTGTCGAAAGTCCGCGGGTCACGCGAGCGAAGCGAAGCCGTGGCGAGCTGTTGATGCACCGATTGAAGGCTGCGAAGCAGTGCGCGATTGGCTGTGCCAACGGTGCCATTTCCGAGACCGCGTTCCGAGACCGCTCCGAGCCCGCTCCGGGATGTGGGCCAACCTCTATTCCCCATTTCTCGCGTTTTCCAGCTTTTTCGCAAATTTTTTTCACTAGCGAAAGGAACCAACGTGACAGACTACCAGGAGTCATCCTTGTCATATAGGGATTCTGTACGGGAAAGGGCGATATTATTCAACCAAAGGCACTCCAAGTCCGAACTTTCGATTGCTTAGGGGCTTCTTTTAAGTGTGAATGATTCCCAGAAATCAAATAAGTCCTTTGACTTTCTCGGCCCTGGTTTTTTTGTCAGTTGCGCCCAAGCCTGCAGGAGATTGTCTCAGAAGCCTTTGACGAGATCGGACTACCGAATCCCAAATGCAATGGCAAGCAGCTGCTTGTGGGCGAGGTGGTGTGGAAGACGGAAGGGGACCGGCACGAGAGTCAATCTAAGGGTGGAAGTACATACCCCTTGTTCATGCCCCTTGGCTTCCGTGGTTTCCAAGCCACTTTATACGTTCTTTTTTTTTGCTCCTTTTGGGGAGAGGGGTATGAACATCAGCAGGCCTTTTGGGTTCATATGTCCTAGGGATATGTAAAAAGGGGTATGTACCTTGGCACCCCTGGAGTCAAAAAGAGTGGTATGACCCCTCGGAAGCTGCAGGCCTGTGCATGGAGAGTGGGCCAAAACGGGAAACCGGCGTTTTCTGAAGGTCATGCCCGGTGTTTTCTATTGGAGTGTGCCTTCAAATGGGGGGCCCCCCGAACATGTGGCGGTTATGCTTTTGGTTCCCTCTTGAAACCAAGCAACAGGAACCAACTCCAAAAAGGAGGAGCCAAACAATTGGATCTTGACAGCTAGAATTCCAAGAGAGGATAATTGCTTCGTTGAACTTCTGGGATAAATGCCAACTCTAAGTGGGCCGTTTTGGTAAGCAGAAGCGGTGCTTAACTGCACGCTCATCAGATACCACAAAGGGTGTTGGTTCCATTTTGACAGCAGGACGGTGGTCATGGAAGTCGAAACCCGCAAGGGGCAGGGAATGCACCAAGAGTCCTGCCACATTCTGGGCAGGGTTGCCGTGGTTTTCGCTCACCTCTCCGATTGGCAAGTTTTCAGAACCTCCTCACTGCGAGTGTATCTATCTATGAAGGCGAGATAGGCGGTTTTCATCCAAGAGAACAGGTCGAATGGGCCAAATGCGCGAGATGTTGTGCAATCCTTGTCCATGCGGGCCACACAAAAACTGTTGTTTTCCTGTTGGTTTCCTCCATTTCCATTTTTTGGAACCTCTAAAAGTGGGAGTTTCAACAGAACCTACCAGTAATTGAGTCATTCAAAGCTTTTTCGGGGACCTCCAGGCGGCCCTTTGTTCCGGTTCCTCCCTTGCAGGACAAGTGGAAGGAGATGGCGCCCTACGCCGCGCGGAAGTTTATGGGGGACCAGTTCGACACCCCTGTCCCCTTCGAGCCCCCTGAGAGCGCCAAGAAGCGGGCGGTGTATCTCTGGTCTGTGGAGCAAGTGGACGAGTTCCTCAAGGAGCTTGGGGTCAAGCCGCAGGGAAAGAGCGCAAAGGACCGGGAGCAAGACTGAATGCCAGTGGCTGCCTTTTTGGCTATATATATATATATATATTATACATACATGTATGTACATGTATATATATATATATATATGTATACATGCATGGGTACACACTGTTTAAGAGTTGCTTGGGACTGCAACAACTAGTCTTCGGCGGCTGCGGAAGGGTTTCGGGGGTGGGGGAGTGGGGGGGGGGTAAAAATCACCCCCACACCCACCCTAAACCCGCCCGAAACCCGCCCGAAACCCACCGTAAGCCCGCCCTAAAATGTTAGACCAACCTTGGGCCAACAGAGAAACTATCACGGCGACCCCGAACCTCACCCACCATCCCAGACCGCTTGGGGTCACTAAAGGGTGGTTTGGGGGTGGCTTGATTTCGGGTGTGCTCAGGCGGTGTAGGGTGTTAGGTTGGTTAAGGGTTGACCCCAAGCGACCCCAAGCCACCCCGAGCGCAACCCCAAAGCCACCCCAAGTCCGCCCTAAACCAACCCTACAAACCCTACACCCACCACTTAAACCACCCTAATTCCACCATAGCCCTACTCCCACCCAAGCCACCCTAAACCAACCCTAAACCAACCGCCAACTAAACCCACCTTAAACCTACCTACCCCTCATCCAACCAACCTTAAAGCCACCATAGACTTGCCCTCCCATCTTAAACCAACCCAAAACGCACCCTCAAGAAATCCTAACCCCCTCTCCAAAACCCTTGCTACACAAACCCAAAACCCACCCTAAACTAGCCAAAGCCAACCCCTAAACAAGCCCGCCAACCCAAAACGGACCCTCAAGCCAACCCGAACCTTGCTAAACCCTGCAGACCTGTTTCTGCAGCGTTTTGCCGCTTGTCCACAACCCAACCCGAAGTCCACCATACAACCAACCCTTAACCCAAGGAATCCCTCCCCAAACCCCTTGTAAACCCACTCTTTAGTCAACTCTGAACAACCCCTAAAACCAGCCCTCACCCGTAGACCCATTCTAATAAACCATCCCCAAACCAAGACTATACCCACCCTGGTCCCAACCTTAACCAAACCTACCTTAACAACTCCAAACCATCCTGAAAGCAACCCTGAACTGACCTTAAGCTACCCAAAGACCCACCCTGAGCCACCCACCCTAACCAGCCCTAAACCGCAGCCCTTTTCAAGCCCCAACCCACACGAACCAACCCTGAAGAAGACCTAAGTCCAACCCTAAGCCCAGCCTGAGCACCCTCTTTAAGCCCACCCTAAATCCACCCTACCCTAAACGCAACCTAAACCTCTAGCCTGAACCAACCTTAACGTTGCTTAGCGCAGTTGCCGTGGGCTTCGGCCACAGGGTTGAAAAAGAAGAGAAGGAGAGTTAAAAGGAAAGAGGGATAGAGTGGATTTAGGGTGGGCTTAAAGGGGGTGCTCAGGCTGGGCTTAGGTTTGGTTCAGGGTGGGTGGTGTGGTTTTTAGGCGACCCATTTGCAGTGTAAAGGCTGGGGCAGACTGGCGCTCGCGGAAATCCAGTGCAAAGGATTGACACGGCCTCACCGAACCCCACCTTTGGCTGAAACCCTCGCAATCCCGCCCTGCAAGACTTTTCCCATGGGCTCCTAGGCACGCAGCCTCAAGCTAGGAATTAGTGGCGGATGACATGGACTTGGAGGACGAAGACCGGACGAAGGTGAACAAGGAGGTGAACAAGCTGGCCTTAATGCCGCTCGCAAAGCTCAGTTTTTTTGTTGCTTGCTTTGGGTTGCTTGTGACAGAAAAGCATTTCCCAAAGCGAGCTGCAGGGTTTGGTCGCCCACCAAGAATAAATCTCAACCTTCGGGAAATCTGAAGGGTTTGTTTGGCAAATCGATTCTCATGGGATTTCCAACCCTTGTGGATATTGCGACCCTTCTGGACCCTTGGCGAAAAACTAACCCAAACCTCGCAACGCTCCAGAAACCGGCGAACCACAGCGCATGTCGCCTGCGGCGCGAAACTCGTCCTGAGGTTCCAGGAGGACGTGAGCATGGCCGACAGCGTCTTGGAATCCGACCGTGTAGAAAGGGAGAACCGGTTTTTGCCTCTGCCAAAGTATTTGTTCTTCAAGGCCCCCAAGAAAATTCCTAAAGTTATTTGGTTTGATTGAAAAAAACAAACACACACTAATATATGTATATATAATATACATATATAAACATACATATACATATGAATTTATATATATATACACATATATATATATATATGGTATCCCCCCCAAAGATCGACCACGTTCTGTGTTTTATCTCTGGTGACACATCCCAGAGTCTGCAAGGTCTCGGGCTTCTGGCTTCCCAACTTCATCTTGCATCTGCCTTTTGGCTGCACAGGATGAACATGTTGAAAAAACCCGAAGAAATCAAGAAAAAAATCAAAACAATCAGGGTCCTGGAACAGAATGCCCAGACCCAGTGACTATCTCTCTCAAGGCCTTGATTTTTTTGATTTTTTTTGATTTTCTCGAGGTTTTTCACTTTTCCAGGTCAGAATCTCGGAAAGTGAATAAACCTCGAAGAAATCAAAAAAATAAAAAAAAACATAAAAAAATCAAGGTCCTGGAGCAGAATGCCCAGACCCAGTGACTATCTCTCTCAAGGCCTTGATTTTTTTGATTTTTTGATTTTTTTGATTTTCTCGAGGTTTTTTTACTTTTCAGAATCTCGGAAAGTGAATAAACCTCGAAGAAATCAAAAAAACAAAAAAATCCAAACAAAACCAAGGTCCTGGAACAGAATGCCCAGACCCAGTGACTATCTCTCTCAAGGCCTTGATTTTTTTGTTTTTTTGATTTTCTCGAGGTTTTTCACTTTTCCAGATTCTGACCTGGGCATTCTCTCCCAGGACCCTGATTTTTTTTTGATTTTTTGATTTTTTGATTTTTTTGATTTCTTAGAGGTTTTTGTAGCTTCATGGGTTTCTTGCCCTTCGCCCCTGAGCATCTTCCTTGCAGTGTTGGAGCTTTGGCGTACAGAGCTACAGTTAAGTCTGTATTGCAACCAAGGCCTGCAGTGTTGGAACTCTTGTTGGAAATGCCTTGCTTGCCTGTAGTTTGGCAGCCTTGCCAGGGCAGCAGGGAAGCCTTCAGTGTTGAAACTTTGGCAGGTGAGGCGCTCAAGTCTTGCAGTGGCCTTAGTGTTCAACTCTTGCCAAGCGGGTTGCAGTTTTGAGCTGGAACCCAGTTTGGCAGCTTGCTTGGGCAGTGTGCTGGAAGTGCCAGTTTGGTGGTGGAAGTCTTGTAGCAGGTGGCAAGAACTCTTGCCAGGGTATTGAAACTTGGCAGGTTGGCAGGTTTCAGTTTGTTGCAGCCTTGCTCTGCAGATTGGCAGCCTGGTTGAACATTGTGGAATGTTGCGCTGGGCCAGCAACCAAGTTTCAAGCCTTCCTTGCAGTGTGGGAGCCTTGGCAGACAGAGCTCCCAAGTTTGTTTTGCAAACATGCCTGTGTTGGAACTTCTGTTTGAACTCGCTTGTCTGTAGTTCAGTGTTGGTGCAGTTGGTTGCAGATTGGATTTGCAATTTTGCAGCCTCCAGGTCTGTAGTTTGGCAGCCTTGCTTGGGAAGTCTTGCAGTGTTGAGTTAGCAAGAGGTTGTAGTTTGCAACCTTGCTCTGCAGTTTAGCAGACTGCTTGGCAGGCTTGAAAAGCCTTGCAGTTGGGTGTGCCTGCAGTGTTGGAGCCTTGCAGTTTGGATGTTGCAGCCTTATTTGTAGTTTGGCAGGCCTTGCAGCAAGTGGGAAGCCTGCAGTGTTGAAACGTTGGCAGGTTGGTAAGGTTGGCAAGGGCTGTAGTTTTGCAACCCTGCAGTGTTGGAGCCCTTGCAGGTTTGTAATTTTGCAACCTTGCCAGGGCCCTGCAGTTTAGCAGACTTGCTTGGAAAGTCTTGCAGTGTTGGAGCTGGCCCTGCAGTGTTGGAACCTTGCAGGTTGGCAATTTTGCAACCGTAGTTTGGCACCTTTGCTTGGGCAGTGCTTTGGCAGGTTGGTAGGGGTTGCAGTTTTGCAAAGCCTTGCAGTGTTGGAGCTGAAGCCCTGCCAAGTCTGTTTTGCAACCAAGGCCTGCAGTGCCTGCAGTTTAGCAGACTTGCTTTGCCAGGTCTGTAGTTCGGCAGCTTTGCTTGGGCAGTGTCTTGGAAACTCTTGAAGTTTTGAAACTTCAGGTTGCCAGGGGCTGCAGTTTTGCAAAGCCTTGCAGTGTTGCAGCCCTGGCAGGTGCGCAATTTTGCAACCGTCCTCAACAACACTGCGCTTGAATGTCGGCCCCAGCATATGCACATCTGTTTCTTGCAATAATGCACCGCATCTTTCTCAAAACGCAGCAAATGGTCGATCTTTGGGGGGGGGGATAGCATATATATATATACACATATGCTCACGAGTGCATTTGCAGGCACCCCCCCCATGTTATACTTTTCGTTGTTTGCATGCACCCTGCCAGTCATTTGCAGGCAGTTCCAAGTGGACTTGTTGACGAAAACAACGCGTGTTTTTCGTCAGCCTTTTGCAGGAATTGTGTGTAGAATACTATGAAATCGACCAGTTCTGGAACGTTCTCATTTCTGATGGGTTCATGGGATGACGCTTGATTGCCGCAACCTGCCTTAAGGGCAGCTGATCGCCTGGAAGTTGGTTCGGCCAGGGGTTCGTCATGGCTGCAATAGCTATGTTTGCCCCTGTGGTCGTGGCGGTTGCTTTTGCAGCAGAGTTTGCAGTGGTCAAGATCACAGCCAGAAGAGAAAGGAGGCTCCGCTTTTACCAAAACTAAATAATGCGCGCCCAAGGGAACACTCTGTTTGATGAATCCCACATCACAAATGGTAGTAACCACGCCCACGGGAACCGCTGTTTGATGAATCCCACAACACAACATGGTAGGAAACACGCCCAAGGGAACCCTCTGTTGGATGAATCCCACATCACACATGGTAGTAAACACGCCCAAGGGAACCCTCTGTTTGATGTATCCCACATTACAACTTGGCAAAGGGAACCCTCTGTTTGATGAATCCCACATCACATCGCACGCCGACGGGAACCCTTTGCCACAGGGTGCTTGGGCTGACCACAAAGGTTTTGCTGAAGGTCAAAGAACCGAGATTCGCGTTTCGCTTGCGCAAAACGGCTGGAAGTGCGCGCTTCGGGATATATATATATATATTTATTTATTTATTTATTTATTTATTTACTTATTTTTGTCTTTTTTTAATTCATTTATTTATTGAGATGTTTCTTTTTGCCCTGCGCCAGCTTTGGCATGGCCCTGAGCTTCAGCTGCAACTGGCAGAAGTGTCCGAGGCATGGGCAATGCGGAGAAGGGCACAGACATGCAGAGAGCCATCTTCATGTGGGACAAGGTGCTTGGGTTTGGGTGGCGGATTGGGGGTTGGGATTGGGGGTTGGGGGTTAGGAAGGGTTGGGATCGGGGGTTGGGCTCGATGTGTGTGTTTATGTTCGAGGGTCTATTCGACCTGAAAAGGGGGCAGGAGGAAACGGAACTCAAAAAGCGGAACCCGCAATCCATGTTTGGGGTGTGTGCCTATTTTATTTGGGCACATACTCAGTTGTCGAAGTAGAATTCAAGGCCCATTGAAAGCCTGAAGCCAGCTGATGTCTTCGTTTCTGCGGCACGCGTCATCGATTCTGCGTGACAAGTCATCGATTCCGAGATGTCATCGTTTCTGTGACACATGTCATTGTTTCTGTGACACATGTCATCGTTTCTGTGACACCTGCAGACGCAGCCTGGAATTGAGCCCGGTCCAGGGTTTCCACAGGGCCAAAACGATTCTTTTCCATTTTTCGGCAATTCATCCCGCTGGCGGCTTTCGGTTTCACCAGATCTTCCGGCTGCAATGCAAGGCCTTGATGATTCTCGCACGCATGCCGGCCATTTTTAGGTGAGCCCAACTTTCTATTTGATGGCTCACCATTTTATGCGATTCCATATTATGCCGGCCATTTTCTGAGACCCGGGCCTTGCCCAGGTCTTTTTTTTTGCGGGACGCGGGGGTGGGGGGTGGGGGGTGGTGGGGTGCGGGGGTGGGGGGGCGGTGCCCCGGATGGAGGAGACCACGGCCATGGCCTTGAAGGAGATCAAGGTGAAAGACGCCCCGGAAGCCACGGGGAAGCAGCGCGGCTGAGAAGCGACGGGGCGACTGGGGTGAAGGGGCATAAAAGCTCCCTGTTTTTGTGGGGATCGATAAGGAAGTCTGGACGCTTTTGGGATTTTTCGTACTTGGTGAGATCTGTGCCTGGGCGAAATGGAGATTCTGTTCAGGGCTCGTCCCCTGAGCATGAAAGCCCTTCAAAGGCCGGGCCGGGATTTTGAAGTCTTCGACTTCTCCGGCGGCCTTTTTAAGGCTTCCCTTTCAACCCGCAAAGGGCTAAGCAGCGTACCCCAAGCTCGCCCAAAGATCGCTGGCGGAGCCGGTTCCCGAAGGCCGTGAGAGACGCCGGACTTTTGGGAAGGGGCTAAAGCTCATTCCCCCCCCCCCCTCATTTTAATGGTGGGCATCGCCGCTGAAAACTGAAGTTGAAGCTGGACACCACGGAGACATTCCAGAAGGATTTTTTCCACCCCTCCCAAAAAACAGAAGCGTCAACAAAATTCACGGACACTGTCCCAGGGAGGACTTTTTTGTTGGTCCCATAGGCAGCTCCTCGCTGGTGACGTGTCCTGGGAAAGCGCGGACAAGAAGAAGTGGGAGGAGGAGATGCTGCCCATGTGCGTCGCTCGGGGAAAGTTTGGGGGTGTCTTGTTTGGGGATGGGCGGGGGGATTTGGTCTGCTGGCCACTACGGGGAAATCCTCAAACCAAGATTCACCTCGCAAAGGCAAAGGCAAGCGACGATCGGCTGGATGCCTGAAGCTGCCGGGAGATGTCGAGTGAAACTTTGGCTTTTGAAGGTCCAAACTAAGAAAGGATAAGGAAGGCTTTAGTCTAAGGCTACCTTCCAATTTCATTCTTTCCAGGGATCCGGATCTTTGCAGAAACCCATCTTAAAACCCAGGGGAAACAGCCGGTTTTTTGGAAAAGAACGATGGTTGAAAAGAATGGGGAATCAACCCCTAGATTTAGGGATTCCCCCCCCCAAAAAAAAAGGTGTTGCGCTCTGTTTCGCATGTAGCCCGTGGACGGTATATGGGAAGCCCGGGCTGAAACACCAAACCACCACTCCAAACCATCAATAAGAGCGAGGCTGAGCTTTTTCATATATATATATGTCTTGCGGAGGGGATTTCCCTTCAACTTAACTTTTATTGATGGCAATTCCACCCAATAAAAGGGGGGCGGGTAAAGGAGCGAAACACGCTCGGTTTCTCCTCTCTTTTTTTTCCGGTTGTGGAGGTGTCCAACTTCGACTGCAGTTTTCATCGGCGATTCCCTCATTTTTTATTTTTATTTTTGTTTATATATATTTTTTTGGGGGGGGTAAACGAGCTTTGGCACCATGATTGATTTGTGCTTTACCTTGGCTGTTCCCTGCCATCCCCGGAGGTTTTTTCTTTGGTTTTTAGATGTTTGTAGGGCTTAGTGGGGGTTAAAACACGAAAAGTTTGACTGTTAGCAGGGGATCCGAGAACAGCCCAGTTGCATTGGGGCTCCCTTATTTCCGGTGTTGCGATTGTTCTCAAAGAATTGTAGGTCCCCTCAGTTGTTGGCCAGTTCGTGAATTCGCGCTTCCTTGGACCCGTTGGTCTCTTTGGAACGTGTCTTCAGATGTGGGACTCTTGCAGGCCTACATCGACGCGCGCCTGAAATCTCAGGGTTGTTCTAAAGCCCAGGTCCGGTGGGCGAAATTGGGTGTGCAAGACACCTGAGATCAGAGCAACTCAAACAATTTCCGGTCTATGCTTCGTTTGGGGACATCAGGAGACTTCCCGGCCCCGCTTTTTTCTACAAGAGGAGAAGGGACTACCCTACGTTCAAGCTCTGGAACTACACGAGGCGTTAGTAAGCAACACGATCCAGCGAGAATGGCTGGCCCGGATTCAAGAACTGGCAATAGTGAAAGGCGCCCGCTGCATGCCCTTTGTCCATTGCAATCTAGTGGTGAACCAAGGCCGGGCCCAACATGATCCACTTCTCATATGTGTGAAAATGGGGTGTCCAAATTCTGCTGGTCCTTTCGGTTTCCAACTTGAATCGACTTGAAGATCGCCTTTCTGAGCCTCAGAAATCACAAAGCCATACTGGGTGTGGCTCAAAATTGAACAGGAGGAGCGAACCGCAGGTTTTGGTCCATGTTTCCACTTACCAGGGTTCCATTTGGGTACCGGTTTTTTAAGCCAGATGATGTCACCAGTCATTACCTGCAGTTGCTCTTCCTAGGTGATGAATTTCCTCACGGACCAGGTCGAGGCTGACACACCCTTCGAGCCACCCGCGGAGGTCAAACAGCGGTGTGTGCGCCTCGAATGTCAGGATACGAGCACCCAACCCCTGATTCTATTTGGTTTAACAGGGGCCCCTCGATCTCCCCTTGATTGGGACTTCCAAAAGTTTCCATTTTGAGTGGCGCCCACTCGTAAATTGCACCTACGGTGCGGGTGGGGGGGGGATCCAGTGAACCTATACCACCAGCTTGGTCGGTTCCCGCGTTTGACATGGGAAACCCACAACGAACACCGTGGGGGTCCACACCCACTTGAGACATGCACAGGTTCGGCCGGCGTTTCCTGAGTTGTCTGTATAGTTACATGCGGGACGAGATTGAAATGAATTTCATACACAACCGCTGGGACGTGCCTTCGACTTTTCCCAGTCCTCTTGCAGAAAACAATTTTGACTGTGGCTATCGGATGTGTCAAACTGAGTTGGCCCCTTGGGGATGCTTCGCGAAGGGTTTGCCCGACCCCTGTGGGCTTGCATATGGTTGGCTACGCAAAAGTGCACAACGCCTTTGTGTTGCGGGCTCGCACATGTTCAGCTACTCATATTGGACAGTTGCAGGTGTTGCGGCTTTCATGTTGCTTTGACAACCCAGGCGCTCTTTGATTTTGCTTGGTGTGTTGTGGTGTACTTGATGGGTTTCTCATGGTTTATTTGTTCGTTCAAATTGATTTCTCAGGGAGTTGAACCTTGACACGTTTGGATGTTCCTTGGGCTGCGCCTCGATTGCATCTGATTGCCAGATGCCTTGACACATGGCCATGGGTCACAAGCCCGTAGTGAACATCCCAATCCCCTCTAAAACAGGCTAAAATGGGTGGTGCACCGAAAACCCCAAAATGGGATCCCATTGGTTTTGACAACCACAGCCACATGGCTGTGTGATGCTACCGACATGGGTGATTGGCTGCTTAGCTCTTCATATTGAGTGCAGCTGAAGGTCTGTGTGGAATTCGCTCTTCGAAAGCCCCCCCTGCAACAGGGCTCCTTAAAAGATTCTCCATTTTGCAACCATTTGAACCATGTTACTTTTTCCCCAAACATAAATGGGAACCACCATTTACAAGTTGCAATGTTCAGGCGTATGCATCCGGATCCCTGTGCAAGGACTCTTTCATGTTCAAGAGGATTGGTCGTGTGATGGCTGAAGTCACTTTGTTTCAACATTTGGTATGATATGATGGCCCAAGCAGCTGTACCGTTTTTTCCATACGGGCCAACCGCCAAACCTCCATTTTTGCTAGCGGCAGGCCCCGGGAAAAGCAAAGTCTGGAGTGGCAGCTTGCGAGCGTAAGACAAGAGGAGAGGGGCGTTTCTCCTAACACGGTGGATGGACGAAAGTCTACCTAATTGATGACTCCCCAACGTAAATACCAGCAACTACAGTGTTTTTTCCCATGGATTCAAAGTGGTGCAGGAATTCGTCCACTCACAGGGGAGCCTAGAATGCTTGGGTTTCCTTTTGGATTCTCGTTGAACGCCAGGGTGCCCAGCATTTGAGAGACTCGGGCATTTTTTTTCGCAGGGCTAATTTGGGTCTTGCTCCGAGAGGTGGTCTACCCCCCCTCTTTTCATCTTCTTTGAGATACCTTTAGTCAGGAAACAGTTACTAGGTTCTCCAGTAGTGCCCTTTTGCCCCTTTGGGGGAGGGTACCCCTATAGCTGCCCTGGCTCTCAAGTCATCGTAGTTTAGGTCTTCGGGCAACCTGGGCCAGGCGACTCCCCCATGGGCGTCTGGCGTCGGTGTCCTCGCGCCCCCCTCGGGTGCGTGTGGCCCTGTCTGGGCCCCCTCTGTCGTGCCATGCTCTCGAGTGACCTCGCTGTTCTTCAGGGCCTGGGCTGCTCCACTTTGGCTCTGGTGTGTGGAAGGCTTTGGCTGGGCGCCGCTTGTGCCCATCCCTGTGCTGGGGATGGGCCTTCGCTTGGTGGCGGTTTCTGCCCGTGCCGGGTGCTCAAACCCCATGGTCCCTCCCCACTTTCGGCGGGGATCACTTGGCGTTTCAGCCTTTCGCGAGCTTCGTGGTGGCGCTCAGCTTGAGCGGAATTCATCGTGGTTCCGGTCAGCGGTTCAGCCTGTGGGTCACTCTGGTGTGAGATCAGCAGCAGGTTCCTCGAGTGGCTCATGGCCTTCGTGGCGGCAGCCTTCATTTCTTCGGCTCCTTTGGGGTCCTGATTGCATTTCGTTCGCAATCCCTGGCAAGGTAGAGGGAACACTGGAGGCTTGGCGATGGTATACACCTATATCTTCACGGTCTCACAGCGTGCCTGGTTGATCAGCGTTTTCACTTGTGCTCAGTTTTGTGATTGCAGGGCCTCGCAGCCCTTTCTGGGATGTTGCAAAGCTCCCCCATCTTTGGCCCGCTTTTCACTGATGTGCGGGGCTTCTGGCCCTTGCCACAGTGCTCGAGTTAACGGTCCTGGGGCGGCATGCAGGGTACCCTTATTCTAACCTCTCTCCTGGAGGACCTAGGTTAGCCTTAGCTGGTGGGGTTGGATTTGGCGGCTTCGGGATTTGAATCTTGAAATCCAACCCTGACAGACTGAAATTCCTCAACGTAAATACCAACGTGAACGTTCTGGTTTCCCCTGGTGTCATAGCTGGTGCGAACGGATTTCGCTCATCCATCCGCATGATGCTGCGTGAAAAGCGGGATGCGTGACATCGCGCGATTTCGGTCGCAGGCGCGGCTGAAATCTCAGCTTTGCCAAGGTACTTGTGGGACGAGGCCCAGGCCGGCAACTCAAAGATGTACGCAGGCCATGGCCCTCCTCCCAAGGCCTTTGAACTGCTTTTGAAACGAACCGAATGGTTTGATTTTGATGCGGGTTTCCAGATAGACTTGTTTTTGGCGCTTTTCTTGACATTGAGGGTGTGTCTTTTTGTTGCCCTCTGCTCTGTTTATGTTTTGTGTGGATTTTGCTGACTGGCATTTGTTTCTGCTGGTTAGGCTGACGAGTTCTTGAAGGAGATGGACGTCAAGCCCAAGGAAAGGGTGGCAGTGTTTCTTGGGGATCACTTTTGAAGTGGAAACGGGACCTCGAAGAACTTGGGGGGTAAAGGTAGGTTTGCTGCACATCAAAGAGCCTGTTTGGGGGCAAAAGTAAGTTTGAGCCCTTTTTGTGGAAGTGGAAATTCGACCTTCAGTACGTCGAAGTAGTTTTGTTTTGAGCCTTGGCGCCCACGAGTGTTGACCTGGAAGTGCAGGGCAAGAGCGGGAAGCAGCTCCTGCAGCTTGGCGGGGAGCTGGAGCCCGAGTTGCGGAAGGCCTTGGCCAACGCGCCTTTGGCTTTGATGGCCGGGAGAGGAACGTGCTGGATGAATTTTAGCAACATACGACCGAATTCACCCGAAATGGTGGTTTATGTGGGGAATATCCCTCCAACCACCTTATTTCAGCTGGGTGAAATATTATAACTCACCTAGAACATGTTCGAGAACATTTGCTTCAGAAGAGGCTCTGTAGTTTTAAAGGGAACCGGTTTGCTTAAGAATATCTTTCCTGTTGGTTTTAAAAGAAACCCATATGACTTCTGGACAATTCGGTTTCATGACACTCCAAGCCCTCCATTCCAATGTTACTTGCTGGTGCGATAGATAAGGATTGGCCTTCCGGGTGTTGGGAATGAACCTGGGGATTCCCGAAGAAAGTAGCCCATTGGGGATAGTTCATAGGGGTCATTCCCTCATTCCCTACTGACAACTAGCAAGGTTCTTTAGACCTACCAGGCATACTCCAGCAGAGCTGGAGGGCGGAAGTTTCGGAAAAGGACATGTGCTTCTGGGAAAACAAACATCCCCCGCCCCATGCCCGCGCCTTTTTGGTCGAGTTGGATGTCCCAGTTGTTCTTTATTTCTTTCCTTCTTTCTTTCTTTCTTTCTTTTTTTCTTTCGTTCTTTCTTTCTTTCTTGTTCTTTCGTTATTTGTTTCAGTCTTTCTCTCCTTGTTTCTTTCTTTTTTTCTTTCTCCGTCTCTATCTCTCTCTCTCTCTCTCTCTCTCTCTCTCTCTCTCCCTCTTTCCATTTGTTCTATGTATCTATGTATCTATGTACTTATCTCTCTATCTCTCTATCTCTCTATCTCTCTATCTCTCTATCTCTCTATCTATCTATCTATCTATCTATCTATCTATCTATCTATCTATCTATTTATCCATCTGCACCCGACCTTGCGAAACTGCCGCGCCTGCCACGAAATCTGTTCTCGAGCTTGCAAAAGCGCTTCGCCGGCCACGCGATTTCATGGGGAAACTTCCGACCCCGTGGCGAGATCGTGCGCAAAACAGAGCTACTCCGCGTGTTTCTCATGTGGGTAACTCCACTTTTCGCGTTGCGGAAGTTTTCTAAGTCAACTTCCTTTGGTTATTGCCAACGTTTCCGCTTGGTTTACGGCCGGCCCACACAAAATTCCCCCCCCCTTTTCCGCGCGTGTTGCCATGGAACCTGACGTTTCGAGACACGATTTTCCTTGGAAAGGGGAGCCCGTACGTTCCATGTTGGACTCTGGGCAACTGTGCTGAGATGGTTTTCACGACCCAACGAAAGCTACCGAGATGGAGGTGTTGGGGGTTGTGGAAAGAAAATGGCCGCCAGGTTAGCTGCTCCTTTTGTTGGGTGGGTAGACAAATGGTACTAAAAGATCGATTGAATAGTGCTGGATTTGGATGAAGCTGCAGAAGTTCAGATGTTTTGTTGAGAGAGGAAGGCCCACTCTTGGCACCAGGAACAGGGGCTCGGAATCCCAGACAATTGCCGCAGTTTTTGGACCATGTTGGATGTGCACGTTCAATCGTGTCACTGGTTTTATTTCCAAGAGCCCTCAAACTTACTAATTATGAGGTCTTAATTCCTCAAAGTTGTGCTGTAAAGCTAAGCCAAGTCACGATCTTAGACAATGTGTGGAAACATGTAGCCCCTTACATTGCCTCTTGAGAAGGTATGGAGGGCTTGGATCAGTCAAGGTGGGCGTCATGTTCATGCAAGACCTCGCGCAGCTCGCATGATGCGGGTAGCGCGAGCCGCGGTCGCATTGCATGCCTTCCAGATGTGACTCGGGCTCTGGACCAGCTGCTAGATCCTGGATCAGCTGCTTGCAGGCCAACCTGTCAGAACCAGAGGTCAAACGAACTGCTGAAAAAGCCTGCAAAGACTGTTCGGGGATCCGTGCTGATGTTTCATCAATATCGCTGTCTGCAATTCACCTCTTGGGCAATACGCCTTTAGGGCGTGATTGTTCGAGGGACACAACGCGGAGGTGAACATAGCGCAGCCGGACGTGCGCCTGTTTTCGGGGTATCCGTCGGCTGAGCCAGGTAAAACTGTGCACCCCTCCTGGTCCTTGCGACGACCCAAAGACGATGACTTGTTGGCAAAAGTTTGCCGCGTGGGCGTTGCTGCAATGTGCAGTTGAACCTCAGGGCCAATCTAATAGCCGTGGTTGACAAGGCACATGCAACTTGGTCCAGGTGCTCACGAACCACTAAGCAGGGGGTTCTACTTGCCAGTCTCCTACATCCCCCAATGCTGGGGTCTCCAAAGTTATTGTCTACGCCAAAACTAAATATGAGGCAGAATCTGAACACATGATTTTTGCTGTGCTCCAGACTTGGGCCAAGAATTGTACATACCCCAAAATCACAAATTTGTTGTTTGGTGATGTCGATGATGATGGTGGTGGTGGTGGTGTTGGTGGTGGTGGTGGTGATGGTGGTGGTGGGGATGATCATGATGGTGATGGTGATGATGATGGGGATGATGATGATGGTGGTGATGATGATGATGATGATGGTGATGATGATGATGATGATGATGATGATGCTGGTGGGATGATGATGATGATGATGATGATGATGATGATGATGATGATGGTGGTAGTGATGATGGTGATGGTGATGAGGAGGAGGAGGAGGATGGCGCGAGGGAAAAAACACGTCACGAGTGGCGAGCGTGGCGTCGTGTGGCCTTGGCGGGCATTGCGTAGGGCGGGGCCGTGGTCTTTTTTTTGAAGGTGGAGAGGCTGAGAAAACCAAACTGAGGCATGACTGGAAGATAATTAGTGTGTGTGTGTGTGTGAACTTCTCAGTTGCATGGACCGGATCTCAGCTGTTGGTACCCCCAAAAAAATATTTTGAGACATGGCCCCTAGTCCTTTGGGCACATTCCTTCTAGCCCTCTCGGCAGGCTGCTAGCTCTTCGGAGACCACATGCAAGGCTCCTCGTTTTTTTTCCTCCGCAAAATGCCGGCGACGGTATGGCCGGGCCATGAAGGTTGCGGTTCAAATCCGCTAGGTACCGGTACTGCTCACGCCGTGCCGTGGAGACGACAAGAAGTCCGGCCATACAGCAAAATGCAAGATTGTGTATTCGTACTATCTAGCGTGCAACTGGCTCAAGCTCGCCATAAGCCTCATGTACATGGTTGTGGATAAGTAGGTAGGACCGACTTCTGTGATATCGAAAGCAAAAACATTCGGAGTGGTGAGGTAGTCTCGAAAATGGCCTACTTTGGTATCACACAAAGGGTGGTCTTCCATTTGCAAGTGGCATGTAAGGGCTTACCTCACCGAAAAAGTTGTTCAGCAGGTTCCACCCTTTTTCCCTTTTTCTGTGGTGGGTTCCCCGCTACAAAAGGGTCTACGCCGCAAGGGTTCCTTAGTTCTATCAGGGCCACTGGGCAACTTGGTCACGTAAAGAAGGTGGTTTGTTTCCTTGATCTGCCACGGCAAACATTAAGCCACCGCGAATGAGACATGTTTCTTGCGTCTTGCTGCTGCAGTATCTGACAGAGGGTGCTCTCCACTGTTTTGGATGCGAGCCAATGCGTTGCGATGTCGCATTTGAGTGGTGTGTTGGACACTTATTGGACGATGAGCATTTAGAAGGTCGCTACTTGTTTGCTTTGTTGTTTGTGTTTTGTATGTTTGTTGTTTCGTTATTTCTTTTGTTTCTTGCTTGCTTTCTGTCTGTCTTTACTTATTGATTATGTTGTTTACTGTTTCTTTGTTTCTTTCCGCTGTTTATTGTTCTTTGTTGTCTTTCTATACATGTTTATTTCTTTTTTTAGTATATATTATTAGTTTGTCTTGCTTCTCTCTTTCTCTCCTCCTTTGTTTCTGTGTTTTTGCGTGTCATTGTTTCTGTGTTTCTGCGTTTCTTCGCTGCTTGCCTGCTTGCCTGCTTGCCTGCTTGCCTGCTTGCCTGCTTGGCTGCTTGCCTGCTTGCCTGCTTGTTTTCTTGCTTTCTTGTTTTCTTGCTTTCTTGTTTTCTTGTTTTCTTGTTTTCTTGCTTGTCTTTGTCTTGTCTTTTGTTTACTTATGGTGTTTGTTTGTTTGTTTGTTTGTTTGTTTGTTTGTTTGTTTGTTCGTTCGTTCGTTCGTTCGTTCGTTTAACTTCAGGGCTCAAAGACTGAGGGAAATTCACTGCTGAGAGGCTGTCAGATGCGCATCTCTGTGCAGTCTGAATCAGGGTACTGCAACTTTTCCTGTCAGAGTCGGGGAGACCGGGGCACTGGTACGCGACACGCCCATTTTGCCGCAGCCACCCGGGCTGACCAGTCAACCCCCAGCACAAGGATTGCAGCCTGACTCGCATTTACTGGTTTTGAAAGAGGCGACATTCCTTTGCGAAGGATGCAGGTGTCCTTTCTCAGTATTCCATGCAGTGGCCCATGAGGGTTTGCTGCGTCGAAAGAGAAGCTGGGCAGGACGGTTAGGGTTTTCTGGAGATCAAGCCCTTGGACCTGGTTTCTTTCTTTTCTTTTTGCATTTGTGCGTTGGCTTCTCGTGTGTTTACGCAACATGGTGTATACTTGCAGGGAATGGCCAGAAGGGTAACCAACCTGGCCCTTTTGGTTCCCTTTGAATTCCAAAGCACGCCATGTCGGTGGCCTGTGGTGTGGAGCAGTCGGCTGTGCTGCCGACTATCTTTGGGCTGGGGGTCGCAGTGTGCGCCGTTTGCGCCTACCGCCGCTTTGGCCGCAAGGTGAGCAATGTCGATTCCCAGTGGGTTGGGTTTTGCGCGCTCAGGTGCATGCACGACATGAGAGCGACTCAAGAGTTTAAGCGTATAATCCACTTGAATGCCAGTAACTTTGTGTTCGGATTGGGGAACCTTCGGTGGATATGATCTACCTTAAACAAATTTGGAGTAGGACCCCGCTTGGGAGGTGAACTTCTATTTGGCTGTGGCTCAAAATTAAACAGGAGGGGTTACGCAGGTGTTGGTCCATGTTTCCACTTGCCAGGGTTCCATTTTGGGTACCGGTTTTTTGAGCTACAGCCATTTGGGCCCATGTAACTGCAGGCGCTTCGAAGGGCTGGGGAGCCCTTCGGGTCGGACACGCAAAAAGTTCTTAAGCTCTTGTCGATCATCGGGGAAACGGAGCAAGTGCTGCTTCAAACCCCGGCGGCTTCCTTGCTGGCCGCGTCAGGTTGTTTTGTTTCTGCAGTTCTCTTGCGTTTGCGCAAAAAGGTTCTTTGCAACCTGATGATTCAGATTCCTTGAAAAGGAGTTTCATTTCCGGTGCTGATCGGAGTAATTCACCCAGCTGAAATGGTCGGCAGTGGGTTTTCCTTTGCAACTTATATTATCCTGTTTGTTTTTGCTGTTGGTCTATTTCAACGCATCATCCAGGTTCCTCGATTAAGGACAGATTCAAGTGTTAGAACCTTGGTCGGGAGTCGGGGCTGTATTTGGTTGTCATCCGGAGGGGAGTCAGGGTGTGGATATGCTTAGAACACACCGCCCCTCAACACATGTCGGCTTTTTCTGGGTTAAAAGCGCATACCCTTTTTCTAGCCTCAGGCGACTTAACCTTGACGCTTCTTGAAATTTTGTCCGCCACTTGTTGTTTAACCTCGGAACTTGCTGACGCTTCTATTTAATCTTGCATGGTTTTTTCCAACCGTGGCTTGTGCTTGTTTATAACCTCGGGTGACTCTATGTCAACCTTGTGTGATTTTCCCTAACCAGTCCTAAGCCGAGCCCTGTACTGACCCTAATCTTACCCTGAGCCAGCCGTAAACCACCTTAAGCCAAACCCCCAAAGCCGGTTTTGAACAACTCCAGCAACGACTGTGGAGCATGACAAAGCCATCCGATCAGCTTTTGGTGTCTGAGCCTCCGCGGTTAGACAACGCAAAAGACATGTCAACTCAGTGGGCACAAGGCCAACCTCCCACGTGTACATCTGTATTTTAAGATATTTGCACCTGATCTGGCCTCGATGTTTCCAGCAGAAACAGCGGCAGCCCTGCCCTGTGCAGGCAACGCTTTCGTCTCCTTTTCTCTGCTCGGCTGGCCCGATGATCGCTAGGCTGCAGCTCGGAAGGAGCCTGAAAGATCAGTCCGTGGAGGCCTCTTTGGGAGACCCCCTTCCCCAAAAACATCTTACAAGCAACAAAATTAAACGCGTCGTGGATTACAAACCGTTTGGTTGCTCGCCGGACACGCCACCCGGCTGGACGAGGAAAGGCAAAGCCGGGCACGGGAAAGAGGGGACGGCCTCACGCCCAAACGGGAACTCAAGCGGACCTGCAGCTTCGCGAACAAATCGTTGCACTCGACGCGCAAAGGCGACAGCAAGTTGACCAAAACGGAAGGGTGCGCGGGGCAGCCTGTACTCTACCCGCCCCTCAGCTCCAGCGACAAGGCGAGGACGAAGTCCTGCTCCTGTCAGTGCGAATGGGCGCGCAGCCCATACGTGAGCCCGAGCCTCGGCCACGGAAAGCGCGTCTACACACAGCTCGTCCTGCAGAGAGACGAAGACGAGCGTCCCTCAGCAGCACAGACGCCAAGCAACGAGCAGCCTGCAGAGCCAAGCCGGGGGCTCAGGCGCCTGCTGGCTAGATGGGCCGCAGGGGGTGTGCTCTCGCCACGTTGTTGCTGAGCAAGAAGATTGTCCACATCACAGTGGAGGGCTCCAAGATCAGGCTAGCTCATGCCCAGCTGGCCGCAGCTTGCCTCAGAACGCTGTTGCTTTTGAGACGCGCCGACGTCGGTCATTTTAACCAGGCCACGGTTTCTCGGTGCATGTCGCGCTTTGATGCTATTTTGACATGGGTGAACTCAGCACAGTCTCGGATTAAGGGTTCCTCCTTGAAAGTCTGGCGAACGTTTGGACACCGGCGCGAGGCGAACAAGTTCTCCACATGACTTGACTTCCTGGCAAAGCATGGCTTTGACCGAGTTCTACACGCAGGTGAAACGGGGGCTTCACAGTAGTGAGAAACAGAAGAGCTAAGCAGCATATATCATAGCTGGTTGCTTCGGTCTTGGGTGCTGTTGTCGGCGCGCGCCGTAGCCATGGAACGAGGACAGCAGGAAATTGGCGACTTTCAATCAGGCGTTCTACGGCGCAGGTCGTGTTGCGAAGCCGGAAGTTAGGCTACGCACTTGGGCTTGCGCATGCCGCCGCCAGCGAGCAACCCGGCTCGAAGCCTGTGCTGCGGTAGGAGCTGAGGCTGAGGTCGAGGAAACATGCTGGCAGGACAAGGACGTTCTAGGCGACCAAGCTGGCGGATGTGCTAGCGTGCAAGCTGAGAATCCGCTTGGTCGTGAGCTGGGCGAGTGTTGGCGTTGCGACGAACTTGAGGAGTGCTTGGGAAAAGCAGAGGCGCTGGCGTTGCAATTGGCACGAGCAAATCAAGCAACCCAGCCATTTGCTCGTTGCCAGGCACGCGTCACGCAAAGGCCATCTTGAAGCACCAGGAAAGCGGCGCGTCGTTAAATTTGGACCAAAGAAAGCGTGGGGAGTTGCAGCCTGGGGTGCTGTTGTGGAGATCTGAAGGCATTGCGCCACATCGACTTGGCTGCTTGCTACTGCCTCATCCTCAGACCGACCCCAGACTAACCCGAAACGTTACAACAACCCTGGACCCTAGAGCAGCCAACGCTAAGCGGGTCCTAGGCCAGCCCGTTAATCCGACTCTGAACCAACCCTAAGCCGATCCTAAACCAGACCGTTAAACCCTCCCTGCAACGTTCCGGGGTGATTCGTCAATGTTAAAAGAAGCTTTGGGCGGCTAAAGCCCCCAAAGCGCTAGCTAGGTTTTGCTCGTGTGAAGAGGTCCTTTTTGCAACCTTCTTTTGGGGTATTCGTTCTTGGGATGCGCAAAGTCTATTCCAATCTTCTATGAACATGGTTTGGAATACAGGTCGCTCTGAAGTTATTTGTGCAGCCTTCACCACTTTGGTCTGTTCTCAGGCTACCCCCCTCAATTGGTGGTTGCTAACCCTTGAGCTCCAAGCCACCAATCCAATTAGCAACCACCCCTGAAAATCCCCAGACACCCGGGAATTTCCGGGGCTTCCACGCGGTTTAGGAGCTCAGCACGGGACTTTCGGCCGGGAGCGGCAGTGGCGCAAGCGCCGGGCCGGGGAGCTCCTGGGAGTTGAGGACCGCCGGAATGATCAGCTGAGCAATCAAAACCCGGGTAGATGAAGGTTAGTAAGGGGCAGTCCCAGCCAGAAATCGGTTGCGGATATCCGCCTTCTTAATTCTTGAAGCATGGTTCTGGGATTACGACCATTTAATGCCGGGTTTTGATTGTGACTCAGCTGGCGGTCTGTTTTTGGTGGCTCCCAGCCATGCGGCTCCTTAGCCTTTTAGCTTGTTAGCGTTTTGTGGTAGTTTCCATTTAACCCAATAAAGTTATCCACGGGGATCTGAGGGCAGCCCAGTGTTGCATGGCGAGATGTGGGTGTGCCTCTTTAGGACAACCATACATGGGTCTGAACTTTAATTGGGAACCCGAAATGGTGTACAACAAAATTCGGCGGGGATCAATGTCCACCAACCACTGTGGAGAAAGTTCCCTATTAGAATTCATATCCAAATAAGCCATCCCCGAATAGGCTTCCTTGATGGGAATCTCCACAGTTTTGGAATGAACCCAGGCTTTGGTCCCCGCTTGAATGGTTTATTTTCGGGTCATTCCATTTCCCATCTCCTGATCCTTCCTGGTGGCTCCCAATCTGGAAGATTGTGATTTCTAGGAATCCCACTATCCACTACCAGAAGCAAAAGGGTATTGAACATGATCCTTCTTGGTGATTCCCAGCCATCCGGTTCCTCAATCGTTTAGGTGTTATTGGTTGGCGAAAGGTCCGAACGGTGCTAGTTTCCGAACTTAACCCACCAAACAGTTAGTCACTTTTCGGCCTAAGATGGTCCAAAACAAACCAGGTACAGAATTGAGAAGGCGGCCGCGCCCATTTGTGGCTGGGATTCGCCCTATCCTTAATCTACCCGGGTTTGAGTAAGTGGCTCACTTTTTCATCTCAAATGAACGGAAGCCTAAAAGGGGCTCTAGACCTATTTTACCGCAATCGTTTTACATGGGCTGCCCAAATCACGGGGCTCCACGGGGCTGGTTTTTCTCTGGACATGATTCGGCTTCGGCTCGTTCGTCCGTCGCTGATTTGGCAAACAAAACTGGAGCTTGGAAGCCGAGAAGGTGCCGGAGCACCTCAGAGCCATTGCAAAGCCAATGCAAAAAAATCAAAAAAAACAAGGCCAAAAGTTAAGAGGAAAACCAGCAGCTAGAGGGATCCAAAATCAAGAAAATTGGGTGTTCTTTTGGTTCCCTAGCAAAATTGGGTTGTAACCTAGGTCACTCACCACTTACTATCTTGGCCGAGCACCCTTGAAGGTACCCCCATTTTAGTTTGGGAACCGCCAGGTGGACCGGTGTTTGGCCGCGTTTTGGCTCGGAAATTGTCTCGGAGGGGCAGGGAAACCGAAGCTTCCCGTCCTCAGGTGGAAGGCTGCCTTTTGTTTCGGCCGACTCGGTTTGAGTTTGTTTCCTTTGTCTCCATGCGCCCATCTTGGTTGAAATTGCTGGTGTCTCATGTGGCGACACGTCGTGGTTGCCAAATGCAGATGTCACAGCGTGCAGGCTGCATGTGAAGCAGGGCTCTTGTCCTGTGAAGGCAGTTGTTCATGGTTGTTGTTGGGAAACATGTGTCCCATTTTTGCTTATTGTGGTTTAGTGGTTGAATTCCAACCACTTAACTGCTACAATTTATTTTTGTTGCTCCCCAAACCCAACGTCAACCAAGTGTTGAGCATGTTGGCAGAATCCGGAGAAAGATCAGCCGATGTCGAAAAGTCCATCTTTTATTCGCGGTCTCCTTATCCTGGGTCCCCAAAAACAGTTGGTGTCCTTCCAGTTTCCCTTTCACGATCAAATAGGAAATCCCTTTTAGTTTCCCTTAAACGACCAACCAAAAGGACATCCCGTTGATTGATTCTCACTAAGTTCACTCTGGCTCCAGCGGATTTTGCTGGTTCTGGAAATCCCTTTTAGTTCAAGTATCCAACAACCATATTTACATGAGTTCCAAACGAATGAGATTCATCCAGTTCATATGAGTGTTTCTCAAAATGGTGGACACCTCCAAGAAGGTTTCGTTTTGGCTACTAAAAAAACAACACTCAAAAGGAGTCCGATTCCAATGTTGAGAACCCCCCCTAGCCCCCATATGGAGGTTGATCAATAGTCCCGGCCCCCAACTCACCATGGGTAGCTTTTCCCATTATCGTTTTTCAAAGTGGTTTTTCCAATCAATGGACCTCTTGATCAACCCACAACCCACATATATAAATCAAATCTCGTTTTGAGCCACAGGAGGCATCACCGGAGCCCAAAGCGCTCGGCAAAAGCGTGGCGCCTTCAGTGGAAAAGAAGGAGGATGGGCCGAATTGGTGTTGTTGATCGGAACAAGGTTTCGTTTCCACCAGGTGGCCCTTGAAAGGGTGAAAACAAATCTAGGTGAAGCCAAAAGGAGGTGGGAAAATGTTTTGTGGCAGGATGAAGCAAGTTGACCAGTTGATCGGGGAAATATGTCTACGGTTCGAAGACAGAAGCAGGGGTCCTTTAATCTAGTGGTGGTGGAACATTTGGTTTTGCAGCCGGTTTCCGTCATATCCTAGTCACAAAGTAGCCATGACGGTCCACACTGTATCACAGAGATGGCCCCATTTCCCACGGTGAAGCCTCTAGTGGGTTGCTCCTTTCCCTTTTTTTTAGTTGGCGGAAACCCCGTTTACTTCAACTAGAAATCGGCCGATGTTCCCCCCAATTTTGGTCAAAAGGCCGACAGAGGGGTTTCGATGCCCGATCCACTTTTCGATTTTGGGAGCCGGTTCTCAGCCAAACTCGGTGGAGAGACTTGGGGGTTGAAACCAAGATTCCAAGTTGGGGCCCCCAGTTTTGGCCAAGGGAAAAAAGCCTTTCCCATGTGGGACATATCATCCTTCTGGTGGTTTTCCAAATGGTCCTCCCATGAAAAGGACCTTTCGATCGACTTGGACACGAGAAAAACAAAAAATGTGGCGGGAGGCTTTGAGAGAAATTGCGCGGGGACCAGTTTCCGGCAGACCTGGGGTGTGGAGTTCTTTTGATCGGCTTTAAAGACAGCCCAAAATTCGGGCTCCTGAAAAAATATATCCATGTTGCCTTTCCGTTTGAGAGGCATGTGGCTTTTTCAACACCAACATAAAGTTGGAAACCACCATTGACCAGTGGCAATGTTTTTTGGTGTTTTTCATGCATCCGGATCCCTGTTACATATATGACATGTTTTTGGGGCACCTATTCACTAAATGGTGTGCCTAGGTTAGCACCCGGGCGTATAATGCATCCGGATCCCCGCAAGAGGAAACCAATTTCCAGGGGCCCGGGACACCAGTTGGCAGCGTCCAGAGGTTTCCATCAGGAAAGCGAATCGAGCTGCACGAAAAGGATCGATCGAATCGAATCCCCCGTTTTTTCCGAGGCTTTTGCCCGCTCGTTTGCCCCTTTTTTGGTTGGGAGATTCGGTTCCCCTAAAGTAGACTACAGAAAAAGTTGGCACCCGTATTCTAACCTCTCTACTGGAGGACCTAGTCTCACTTTCCTGCAATTGGTTTGATGGTCATCGACCTGTAGAGGGTGTACCCTGCAGATTGACAGGTTTCTGGGTCGATGGAACCGGTGACGTTGCCCCGTCGATGGAACCCTGGTAAATGGAAACAAAGACCAACCCCCCCCCCTCCAACGTCACCAACCCACCCCCCACCCCTCCACCCACCCCGCCCCCCCACCCCCCCACCCACCCCGCCCCCCCAGCCCCCCACCCCCCCGCGTCATGTCGAAAGCGCAGCATGGCGCCTGGAAGGAGCTCGCGAGCTGCCACGCCGCGCGGGCCATCCACGAGGAGAAACGACGACTCGGTGTGGGATGGGTCGAGACGTCCTTGAAACGGTGGGTTTTTGCCCTGAGCCATCCATGAGCTGCTTGTTTCTTTTTGTTTTCCCCCTCCCACCAACAAGTGCGGCCCCTAGGCCGCAAGGTCGTCTTTCTGCAGGGTGTGTGTGTGTGCACTTATGCATGGACTAGTCGGTGGGAGCGGAAATGGACACCAACAGCAAACCTGTGGATGGTTTCAAGATCCTCTTAGGCACCACTTTGAAGCCGTTGTTTGTAGGGAGTTTTTCAGAAACCAAGGTTTCTCAGCGGTGAGAGGATTTCGCAACCATCCACTGTAGGTTTGCTGTTGGTTGGTCCCGTTACCTAGTTCCCCTTGATGGTTGTTGTTGGGAAACATTTTACATTTTTGTTTATTGTGGTTTAGTGTCCAACCACTTAGCTGCTAAATGATATTTTTTGCTCCCCACACCCAACGTCAACCAAGCGCCTTTTTTGTAGCACATACCCAAAGGATGTACTGTCCCGTTCCCTTAAACCCAACGAGCCACTGCGGGCACCTTGCGGGTCCCTACCAGATGCAAGGGGTCACAGTGGGCTTTTTCCGTGTTCCGAGGCTCGGTGAAGACCTTGCTGGATGGTGGCTTTCAAGAAATTCCAACAGAAACACCTGAGCTTACCGCCATTTCGGGGGTCCGACTCGAAGAAAACAAATATTAAAAAAAAACAACAACATGCAAGTCGATCCATTTGGAGCCCATGTAGAGCCTTAAGCTCCAAGCCCTAGGCCCGAAGCACTTTGCACAAAGGGTGGGGCGTGGTCCAGGAGTTGGACCGCAAACTCTACCGAGCTCACGGCCCACGCATGTTTTTTCCTCCCGGGATTCCTGATTTCCGGTTTGTGAAGCATAGCCATGCCCACATCTTGGCAGATTTCGAGGTTGTTCGGTGCATTCATTGTTTGTCGTGAAACTAGCCGACCCTAGTACGAGGACACGGCGCAATTCATTGCAGCCTGCTACCCTTCACCTAACATCCCAATGTTTGGAATCGTGTCCCGTGCGGTACCGCCAATGACCGGTGCCGAGTATTGCTCTGGTCGCACCGGCCAGATGTGTGGCGAGTCAGTGGCGAGTTGCTCCCCCGATGCGAGTCGTTCGTTTGTGTGGGAAGCATAGAGCCCATTTACCAGGGAAACCCATCTGTTTCTCCAAGAGCTCACCTATGTTCCCCCCCCCCGCACCCCGGCTTTCCCTACGTCCCCCCTCTCACCTACGTCCCTCCTTACCTATGTCCCCCTCGCCTATGTCCCCCACCCTCCCTCGCCTATGTCCCCCCCCCCCATTTTTGGCAGAAGGCTTCACCTTGTTAAATCCCAGGCTCGCCAGAACCTGCCATCGTTCGACTCGCCTTGGACTCGTCAGGACCGGGTTGTGCTGCTGGACCGGGACGGGCGCCTTGGCTTCTCTGCACAGCACCCGACTTGGGGCCGGTCTCTTTTGGGAGTCGGTGCCCCCTTTTTGTTGTGACATTGTACCGGGAACCAAAAGGAACAACGGTGCACCACGTTGGGGGGTGCAACCAAAAAAAAACCTTCCAATCTGTCCCAGACACCCCCCCCCTTGCAGCAGAAAAATGAAGAGACAACTTGGCGGTCCCCAGCCTTTTCCTTGTATTTTTAGGTTTGAGGTTTTTAGTGGGTTTAGTGGTTGGGTTTCCATTTCACGAGCTACAAACTTCTGGCAGGGGATCTGACTCAGCCCAGAGCATGAAGGAACCGCTTGGGGGTTGATCAGTATCCCCTTTGCCCCAAAACGACCATGGCTAGTTTTTCCCCATGTGCTGAAAGTCGTCCTCTTTTTGGGGTGGTTCCATGGTCACCCTTATTCTAACCTCTCTACTGGAGGACCTAGTTTTGATCAAACCCCACTTTTTGAGACCAAACATGCAGGAACGAGCCACTGGCTCAAAACCCAGGCCTTGCCGCCTTGCCGTGAATGGGTGCCTTCGCCCTTTTAATTCTTGAAGCCAGGTTCTTGGGATCGACCATTTCAAGACACTTCCAAACTAGCAATCCAAAAGCCACCCTTTTTGGAAGGAAGCTGACCTAAGCCCTGAGAGAAGCAGACCATATTGTTGACCCCATATTGATCAACCCCTGTTTATTAATAGGGGGGTGGGGGCCCCTCCAAAAGTGGTCCGATTCCCCACTATACCAAGGGAGAAGCACCCCCCCGTATATTGATAAACAGGGTTTTACCTAATAAGGGATCAACATGATACCTTGTTGATTGGCTAGTCTACGAGGTGTTCGAAGGCCAGTTCAGCTGAAGGTTTTGCTCGACTCAGCCGAGGTATCTGGAGGCCAAAGCCCAGCTGCGGTATGTGAGCGGAGCCTTCCTGGGTGCCTGCCTCGCACCTCGCCGGGACAAAAACTGGGCCCAAGGACCAAGGGAAACCGCAAGCTTGCTCCGGAAAAGGAAAAAAAACAAAGGGCCACAGAACCACTTTTCAGCCAAAGTTCGACTTTTGGGGATGACCGGCGGCCACAAAACGGACGAGCTTTTATTTCAGGTTGTAGCAAATTCGCCTGGCTGTTTCCTGTTTGGCAACTTTGTTAATGGGGAGAGGGAGGAAGAAGGGAGGAGGGAGAGTGGATGACCATCAATCAGTTGTCGGGGGGGGATTCTGCTGCAAGTTTTGTATCGGCTGACCCAACAAAACGGAGCGAATACCAAAAAAACAACTTGGAAAGGCGTGATTGGTGTTTCACAGGCTGGACGGCCAAAACCCTTCATGTGCCACATGTGCAAAAGATCATTATATAGTCGGTTTGGCGAGCATGATCATGAACCCCTTGACGGATTTAGACAACCATGGGTTCCTATCAAGAGCTATAACTATGACCTTCCTGAGGAGTTTCGACCATTGCACACATCAAGCAACAAAGCAAGGCCCCTATAAGTCCCTGGTATGGGTGCTTACTCATGCGCTTCAGATGCCACTTGAGGGCAGCAGAATCCACAAAGCCACTGTGCACAGAGGTTGCGCTAAACATGCAAAAACAGAAGATTCAACCAATGTACGAGTATGTATCTCTATGTTCGTGTGTGTGTGTGTGTGCGCGCGCGTGCGTCCGTGCGTCCGTGCGGGTGTGGGTGCGATTTTGCATGTCCGTCACCGGTCAACGTTCACGGGCTTGGAGGGACCTTGGAGGCTCTTTTGCGGAGCGCAACTTTGGGAGCTCGACGACATTGTAGGTCCCAAAGCTAGGTGCCCTTTCTCACCCCTTTTTGTGGGGGAGGGTTCCGGGTTCCCCTGGTAAAATAAACTACAGAAAAGAGTTGGTACCCTTATTCTACCCTCTCTACTGGAGGACCTGGACAACACGGCTTCCTGGAGCCCTTCCAAAACTTGTTGAGTTGGTAGTTTGGGCCTCCATACCCTCCATTAGCTTCCCCACCAAAGACCTCCGTACCACTCCTTAGAACCAAAAGTGAAGCTGAATCGCGGCTTTGGTGCTCAGGCGGCAGTGGCGCAGTGCCTTGCTTGCAAAAGCCTTCGAGCGTTTGAAGGGGGCCTTGGAGCAAGGATGAGAGAGGCTTCTGACGGTGGATGCAACAAATCCTGCGCGATTTGAGATGGATAAACCTTCATGAACACTGGAACAAGCCTACCAACTGCCGCAGTTGATTCCATCTATGTAATGAGGAGCTAGCCTCCTAGTCTAATCCGCCCTTTTCTGCTGTAGCTGGTTTTGCCACCGAAAAGGGGTGTCCCAGTTTTCACGGCCGGGCGAGCAAAAGACACTGCGAGGGATTTTGATTTCAACCCATTCGCGCCAAACAAAATGTGAGAGGTGATGGTTAGGCTGGTGCCGCGTGTCCGCTGATAAAGAGCCGCTGAGTGAAACAGCAAAGCAAGTTACGGACTCAAAGTTTGAAGCCACCACTGCCCGAGCATGAAGGCGCTTTTTGGTTCTGCTTCTGAACTTTTATACTTGCTTTGCAAAGGGCAGCTCGAATGTGCTGATCGCTGGCCCAGAAGTGATCCACAATCAAGCAAGCTGTTCGCCGACTTTTCATCCAGACACCCACTTTGCCCTCCAGCAGCGCAGGCGAGGAACAAGTCCCTGTCACCTGTGCCCATAGGTGTCCTTTTTGGTTGGTTTGCTTAAAACATAGAGGGCCCTGGTTTAAATGGGGTTTATTCCATTTACCAGGGCCATTTATTTTTCCAAAAGGCCACCTATGCCGTACCATTTGCGCCCGCAAGTTTTCGTGGTTCCGTTTTTGGTGACCTGGGCTTTGAGCGCGGCATGGCGACAGCGTGTGGCCGAGCATTGGCCGTTGACGTTTTGGAGTCTGCGCCACCAGCGCCTCCGTCAAGGTGACCAACCCACATATACATGCCATATATACATACATATGCTTATTATATAAGTACATATTTATACACACGTGGAGCTACACACACACACACACGTGCGTGTTTTTGTTGTGCGTGCGTGGGTGTGGTCTCCTTCCATCTGCCCTGAACTGAGGCCCGGGGGTGCTGACATGGTCTTTGCGGCCCTGCGGCTCCTGCACGGGGGCCTGGAAATTGTGAGTTCGCGCTGAATGAGATTGGTGTACCCTTCTGTACGTATTTGTCCACTTGAAGAAATTGAAGCACCCCTTGACACTTTTTTTCTTCGTGTTAACTTCCTGGGTTTCCGTAGATTTGGCCAAGAAGCATGAGTGGGCAAATTGTACCCCGAGCTCATCGATCTGGGGGTATAACAAGCGAAAGCCCATGAAGATCCTTTATTTGTGGATTCCTTATTTCTGGTTTGTAAATTAAAGAAGTCTGCTACATGCTTGTCAAACACTGATTCAGAGCCATAGCAAGGGGAGCCTAGTAGCCGGTAGCCCTTAGTTGGTGGTTTGGATTGGTGGTTGTACAGGATAAATGGGAAACCACCCCAAACCACTGAACCACCGATTCGGTTCAAGGACCAACTTGAGGGAAGCTGATAATAGAGGCTGTTAGTGCCCGCAAAGTTGAAAAGAACAATCAAAAGATCAGAACCTTTTTTCCTTGGCTCCGCTAGCTATGGTTGTCTGCTTTTGAGGGTAGCCTTTTGGGGGGGATGGAGGGTAGTAAGGTATACTCCCCTTGCCATAAGTGGGTGTCGAATTTCGCCTTTTCAATTCTTTACACTTTGGGGATCGACCATCTTACTGGGGATTGCTTATGACTCAAGTGGGGCTCGTCTTGTAGGATGACCCCCCCAAGTCGGCTTTCTTCGGTTTCCCAGACATTTCCACGTCGCTCTCGGGCCGGGTCCCCCGGTTCCACCGGAGGTTCCTGGCGCTGCTGGCGGCGGACTTCGCCTTCACGGCCGGGGGGCAGCTGGGCGGCGGACTGCTGAGCCCGGGCCCCGAGACTCCGAGACTCTGAGACTCGACCGGGCGAGAGAGCCAGGTCGGAGGTTGGCAGAGGCCCGGAGAAGGTGGGCCTCCCCCTTCTTTTTCTGGGAAGCCAGGATTTATTTTTTTTTTTCTCTTCAGAGGGAAACCAAAAAGAAACACCGAAGCCATTTTGGGGGACCCTGGACTTACCCTCCCACCAATTCACATGGAACCTGACATAGAACGGGGGGGGTGGGGTGGCTTGGACCATTTTCCTTCTGAAGGGACTCCTCCCTCTGTGGATGTTTCGAAAGGGAAGCCACAAGGAGATCCGTTTTGCCATTTTGGGGGGACCTCTTTCTAGATTCATGATGGCTTGGTTCCACCTACCCTCCCACTGAATTTTTGTTTTTACATTGGAGCCCCTCGACGTAAGAGCGCTCCTGGTTTGGACCGTCTTCCTTTTAAAGGGACCTTTTGGGTCCCGAACGTCGAACGGTTGGTTCCATGCGAAAAAAGGGTGGGAGGGTAGTTTACATTTTAAGGGTCTGTCTCTTTTTGAGCGTCACCCCGTTTTTCACATCCATATACTCACTCCCCGATTTAGGTATCCCAAAGAAAGTAGTACCTCGAGATGGGTTCCACGGGTTTGGATGGTTGCTATGTCCCCTCTGGCCAGGGTCCCCCAGCTAGGTGCCCTTTTTCACCCGTTTCTTTTTTGGTTGGGAGAGTTCCCCTACTAAAATAGACTACAGAAAAAAGGATACCCTTATTCCAACCTCTCTACTGGAGGACCTAGTACCATAAACCAGGGCCATCTACTTTGGGGACTTTCACTCCCTGAGTTGATGGACTTTGGCTTGCCACTTTTTGGGGGTTGAACCATTCCAGTGGCGGGAGCCAAAGTTTGGGTGACTCTGTTTGGCGGAAGTGAGTGGTAGATAGGAAGCAGAATCTGACAATACTTTGGCCGAAATCCCGTGGGAAACCATTCAAGCTATTGGGAGCAGCTTGGAGGAAGTTGCTTTTCAACCCTTAACTTGGTGGTTCCCAGCTGTCCAGTTCGAAGGTTGTTTTTTCTCGGTTTTTGGGGGTTTAGTGGTTGGGTTTCCATTTGACCCACAAGTCAAACACTTGAGCAGGGGATCAGAGAACACACAGCGCAGAAAAGGTTCCCCTGGGAAGGTTGTTTAAACAATGGTGTCAAGCGAGTGAATCACCGTGCCCTGGATCCCAAGAAAGGGCTAGCTTTTCGAGTGAGGAACCACCAGAAATGGGTGCGATTTGTAATTGAAAACCGGTTAGTGGATCATTTTGGAGGGGGTCCTAATGGAATTTTGTTGTTCAAATGGTCCGTTCCCATTTTCGAGAAGCTGTGCGGGATATGTTGAAGGGTTAGGTCAAGCCCCCTATTTTTCTGGGACAATGAGCCAATGTTCCTCAATGGTGCAAATCCCAGCTTCGTTGATCCCATGCAAGATTTGGTGCACAGGCGAGAGGGGGGGGGGTCTGGAACAACCAACATCATTCCCTTGCGTCCCGAACAACACTTCAAACCGATCCCAAAAATGGTACTCGGGGGGAGAAAAAACAAGAGAAGCAACCCCATCTGGGCATGAGTTTCAATCGAGGGCCCTTTGGGTGGTCATAAAGGTTGGGATTCAAGCCACTTTGGAGCTTCCGTAGTAGAATTGTTGAGGCAATCACAACGGTTTCTGGATTTTGCCCATCCTCCCCGCACGGTGTGTGCGCTTGCAGGCAAAAAAGAAAGGTGTTGCACTCAAGACGCTCGGGGCAAAGAAGTCCAAGCTGGCTGACCAGCCAGAGTTGGGCGATTCTGATCTCGAAGAAATGAGTGATGGTGACAAGAAGAGCGCTGACGAAGCCAACTCTTGCAAGAAGGAACCGTCATTGTCAATCTAAGAATCTTACTTGACTGATTGTTGGCGCTTCGCCCTAAGGGATAAGTTGGCCAAGTTTTATGGGAGGCACCTTTGACCGGCTTCAGGAGTACCAGCAGTTTAAGAAGTTCGGGGACTCTCTCCTGTCCCGGTCCTCCAAGATGACCGATCTCATTGCCGTTCCCCCCCCCGTCCCCCCTGAAGCCTCGCGCGCCCGCGCGCACCTCCCGCGGTTCCATGAGTTGAGGCGTCCAGCGCCAGGGGCTGCGCAAGGTGCCACTGCTGGGCCGCGAGGCCAAGGAGGACCGGCCAAGGGGCGGCCTCGCTCCAATCAGTGCACCTTTCCACCAAAGATCGCCGGGTGGATTTCTCCGGGTTTCCTGGGTTTAGTGGGGACTCAGAAAATTTTTGGAGGGGAACTCCCTCTATTGATTAACTGGGGTTGATGAGTATCCAGGTCCCCCAGCCCCTTTTTTGGTTGGGAGATTCGGTTCCCCTACTAAAATTGATTACAGAAAAAAGTTGGTACCCCTCTCCACTGGAGGACCTAGTCGCTGGACGAACTCAAGGTTTGCTGGTACAAATGGAAGCATGTTGATGCATCAACATGATTGCACCCGTCAAAGGACGAGACCTTGCTTGAGCCTTTTTCGACTGGTTTACTAAAGGACCCGAATTGAAATGAGGGCCATTTCCAGCTCATTGCCAAAGGCACTGCCCTTCAACTCATGGATTTTTTTTTCTGGGATTGGAATCCACCGCAAGCGACTTGTTGGTATCACCAAGGGCTATGTTACGTTTCACAACCATGTCCGGCACCAACTGAGGAACCGAGGTCAAATCCCAACTCCTTTGCACTTGTTAAAGTAGTAAGTATACTTTTTGTTCATCTCTCTCCAGCCCCTCACTTTTGGAGCCCCAAATGAAAACCTCTTGTCACAGCCTTTCAAAAAGATGGGTTGGGAGTCCGCAACATCGGAAGGACGGCGTTATGCGTCCCACTGGTCTGAATGGCTTGACAGATCCCAGTTTCAGTTGGGTTTAAGCCTCCCAAAGAGGCAACGCCCACTGAAAAGAGGCACTGTATGGAGGGTGTTTGTGTTTTTGAGTTGGCACCCCTTTTTGGTTGGCTTTGGCACCAAAAGGCACATCATGTATACATACATATATATATAATATTTATATTATGTATTATATATATATATATATGTATTTGGGGGGGGGAGGGGTCCCCTAAAAAGATACACACCCCTGTACTCATTCCTTGAGTTCCTGGACTTTGTATTTTTTGGGAAGATCATTTTAGCGGCAAACACCAAGTTCAGACCAATCCATTCGATCGGATATTGAATATTTTTTAGCTGGGAAAAGGAGGCCAAAAACGACCAAGCGCTTCGTTCGCTGGAGCCTCAGGACCAGATGAGTTTGGTTAGAAATAAATGGGTTCCACTGGTTTAGACCATCCATTTTACCCAAGAGAGCCCTACAACCCCCCTCCCCCCTAAATACACCCACTTAAAAAAGAAACATCGGACCCTCCAACCCCCCCCCCCCGTCTTACACACACCCACTTTAAAGAAAAACCGGAAGAAGGGAAACACACAGACATACAGACACACACACAGACACACAGACACACAGGCACACAGACACACAGACACACAGACACACAGACACACACACACACACACAGACAGACACACAGACACACACACACACAGACACACACACACACAGACACACACACACACACAGAGACACACACACACAGACACACACGCACACACAGACACACAGACACACACACACACAGACACACACACACACACAGAGACACACACACACACAGACACACAGACACACACACACACACACACACACACAGACACACACACACACACAGACACACACACACACACACACAGACACACACGCGCACACAGACACACACACACACACAGACACACACACACACAGACACGCACACACACACAGACACACACACACACGCACAGACACACACACAGACACGCACAGAGACACACAGAGACACACACACACACACACAGAGACACACACAGAGACACACACACACACAGACACACACACACACACAGAGACACACACAGAGACACACACAGAGACACACACACAGAGACACACACAGAGGCACACAGAGAGACACACAGAGAGACACACAGAGAGTCACACCGAGACACACAGAGACACACAGAGAGACACACAGAGATACACAGAGACACACAGAGACACACAGAGAGACACACAGAGACACACAGAGACACACACACACACACATCGGCTCCATGTTTGGAGCTGCGTTTGGATCTCCAGAAACGTCCCCTAAAAGCTTCAGGACCTCCTGGTGTCGTCTCTGGGGCTGGGGGCTTGGCCTTTGGAGCGCCTGCGCCTCGCGCTGCTCCAAGTCGCGGGCCTGGGGCTGCTGCTGTGGTTCGAGGCGCGTCGGCCGAGGGGCCGGGGGGGGGCGGGGGAGGGGCGGGAGGCGTTAGAGCCACCCACCTTCCATGTGGTTAAGAATATTTTTTTTTCTTTTTCTTTTTTTTAGCTATATATATATATGTATATGCATATATATATATATATATATTGTTTTTTATCCTGTTGGTTTTAATGGGAATCGATTTCACTACCGGACATATTTTTATGTTTTTCCAGGGGACTGAAGCAAATGGAGGCCACCTGTCGCCACTTGAGAATGGAATTGGGGAGGGGCGATTTCTGGAATTCCATCAGTTCCATGGTTTCATGTTCCTGTTGGTTTCATGTTTGTTTCATGAAATGCTTGTTTCATTTGATAATGAATTGTGGAATTCCCATTTGTTCCATCTTTTCATTTTCCTTTTGTTGAAGGCAGGGGATACCCAAGCACAGGGCTAGAAGTTGCGGGTGGATGGTCGGAGGCCCTCTCAGGTTTCTGGGCATTTTTTGTGTGGTAGGTTGGGTAGTTTGCTGGGTAGCGCCAGGTAGGCTGTCCTTGAAAGGATACATTTGGGCCCCCACGACGCCCAAGTGAAAGCAAGTTCTTCGAGCCCAGATCAGCGCCACATCGATCTACCCAACTACCCTCTCAACAACCAGGT